GTATATTCTTCAGCCAAACTCCGAAATCCCGGCTATTTGACAAGGAGAGGCCTCATCACTGTTGCGTCTGATTTAACTGGCAGATTTCCCCTTTAAAGATGACACACACTCTCCCCCCATCTCCAATACAAACTGAAGACGTGGCGCTTTTAAGCTGTAAACTTTCCTGCCTCTGGCGCTCCGTCCAAATCAGTTCTTTTTTGGATTCTAAGTGTTACTTTCTGCAGCTGAGCCGCCCGTGTTCGCGTTTGGTTAAAACACTCTTGTGGGATTGATAAATCCTTCCCCGAGCACAGCAGAATTTCCAGCCCATTTTGCAACGTTTTAACTCTGCAGGATCTATTGTTAGACATCCTCTCGACAAAACCCTTCGGGGAGGTTGAATGTTCTTTAAAATCCGAATTTCCTAAAGCGAACCGGCGCCGTGAATGTGATGCGTAATCGCTTCACGTAATATGAGGAAGGTTTGGAAACGAATTCCCATTTCGTCAATGTTAGTTCAAAACGTTTAAAAATATTTCCAGATCTATTGCCCACCATGTGGAAGGTGCTTGGGGAGGGAGGGAAGGGGGCAGCTCGGTTATATTTTAAGATCTGAAGGTTATTCCAATGCAGTTGTACAAGATGCTGGAGCAGAAACTGTTGCCAGGGGAGTGGGCCAATCTAGGATGCTGCTGGCGAGGATTTAACCTCGCCTTCAGTCCTCTGCTAGAGACGGTGCCTTTACTGTGGAGATCGAGCAGACCGGCAAGAGAATGCAGCCACGATATATCGATGTGGCATTTGTCACAACTCCCCCCTTCAGTTACACCTTTCACTTGGAAACGTCTGTTTGTTTTGGCCCCGAGTTGGCTGTTGCTTGTGGGTTGCAGACAAAACCCCCACAGAAAAGGCACATATGGGGAAGGGGGTGGTGTTGGTGTCGCCATATGGCCCCATTTACACCTGAAGAGTCATATTTTTGTGCAATTGTGTGTGCGCGTGTATTTTCCAAAGATCTGCATCTGCTTTGAGGCGACAATAAACGCTGCGGTGAATAATACAGGGCGGAAGGCGCGCCTCCAGGTAGAGCAAGGGCAGCTGCTTCATCTGAAGAGTTTTTTTTCAGATATTCGCTAAACATATGTCACTGAATCACTGCATCTTCCTCAGAGTGTCCCCATTGACTGGGAGGGGGCCGGGGAGCAGCGAAACTGAGAGCCTGGGACAGGTGCGCCCGGTACCGTGCGTAAAATTCCAAGTCGGAGCCCACAAACAGCGCACTCCGTTACAAAGGCAGGGTGGCTGCTTGCTTTATATCTTTGATGAAAGATGTGACCAAGTGGCTGTTTTCCCACGTTAGACAAAATCTCAGCTACTTTCTATTCTTGGCCACTGTCAGCCCGAGCAGATTTCGCTCTCCTTTTACCTGTCTAGGCGCCAGGATAAACGCACCCACAAAACATCAGGCATCGCTCCGTCATGTCGGGAGATTGTGGGGAAGGGACTTTTGTAACGTTAGCTCAAGGGGGCCGGAGCTGTGCACTGTCACACCGGTACCTTGTTCTACTTATTTCACATTATTGAAGGGATCGGGCCTTATATCGCCAATTAGCGAGGGACCGTAGATCCAGCAATGATCACTCAGTCCATATGGTGCATTGACAATACCCGCCCCCCCCAAAAAAAAAACAAACGGTAGGAATGGAAGTTTACCAGAGACGAATAAAAGCTTTTAAATAATCCAACATTAACTCAACATTAAAGCATTTGAAAGGCGCAATCCAAACAGGTGTGAGTGTAAACCCATTGCTTTCGCCCCTGGTTTTATCACGGACTCTCTGTAAGATTGTCCTTGTTCTGTGTAGTGTGAGTAAACAGACGCCAGCAGTTGCTGTGGGATTGGGAGAGTTATCAGACAGTGGGAGGCTGAAGGTGGTTTAACAATAAACCTGTGCTGGAGCAGAGCAGGTGATAGCTTCCCCTCGCCCGAGTGATTAATGCATCCCCAATCCCTGCACCTTTATCATCGCCTGGAATTATTTATTAAGGGAAATGTAGTTATTATTATTTTAGCAAACAGTGGTACCAGGTGGGGCTTTATTCGCTGTTTAGCTTTTGTTTGAAGGACGATTGAAGAGGCCAATAGGAGCTGTGGAAACTCGCTCACCAGATTTTTTAGTCTTGTTGACGGTGTTTAAAACTGTCACACTGCCCTTCATCAAATAAAGCAGCAAGGGGAGGGGGGAGGGGGAGAATTCACGTTTAGGTGAATACTGCAAAAGGAAACAAAAGTCTTCGCTTTAGAAAAATGGTGAGGGGCTGTCTAACACCGGCTAGTCACGAACACCAGCCTTCTACAAACTGCCAAAGGGCCACATTCAAATGGTGCGCTCTCACTGACGCATAGGCTTCGGCGCCTGGCTCTGGCTCAGTCCTAACGCTTCAGCTCTCTTTTCCCCCGGGGGGAGGGGTGGTGGGGAGTTGTGTGTGTGTTGGGGAGGGGATGAGATTCCTATTGAACCCTGCTTGCGGATTCTCTATTTCCCACTACCCCGCTTACCCCCTCCCCGGTTTGGAAACACCGCTATCTCTCTCTCTCCCTCTCCATCCAGAGCACACGCTGTGCCTGGCCAGGCCGCCTCTGTCTCTGCCTCCCCCTCGCCCTCCCACAGGAATAAGGCAAACCGCCACAGCTCCTACTTTCAGAGGGTGGTGCGTCTGTGGAATGAACTGCCAGAGGAAGTGGTGGATGCGGACACAGTTATACCGTTTAAAAGACATTTGGATAAATACATGAACAGGAAAGGTTTGGAGGGATATGGGCCAGGAGCAGGCAGGTGGGACTAGTTTAGTTTGGGATTATGTTTGGCATGGATTGGTTGGATCGAAGGCTGTATACTTCCGTGCTGTATGACTCTGAGGAGCTGGTTAATGTGAACAGGCTCTCAAACGCTGGTTGTGTTCCCCAGGGTCTTCCATCCACAGTCTAGCGGCCCCCAACCCCCGGTCCCATCGGCCTGACAGCACACCCTCCCCGCCCAAACAATGAATGTCCCCATCAATCGCTGCCTCTGCAGGGAGTTCTCAGGGAAAGCAATGCTGCTGGTTTGATTCAATCCCAGCCTGGAGACGGACAATGTTGGAATTTACAATTGGAAGGACATCGACCTTTTGAAGGAGCTTTGGAAATCTCTGGTCGCCCTTTACCTTTTCCAGTTTCATAAGGAGCTGAATACTCGGCAGCAGGTTAAAATGATTAAACAGGAGCAGTTTCCCCCGGGGGTGGGGGAGTCAGGCAGCGCAGTGTAAGCGGGTCTTTACACGGGATGTTGGCGGAGTGTAAAGGGAGCGTAAGCGCAGCGTAACAGGAGTTTGAGCGCAGTGTAAGCGGAATGTGAGCGGGGTCTGAGCGCAGGGAGAAGCGCAGTGTAATCGGGGCATTAGCTGCAGGACCCTCCCCCCGGGGGGGGGGTATTTGGGGGTCTCAGACCCCCCCCCCCACTCTGACTGCACTCCGGGGGCGGTTCAGGCTGGATCCCGGGGGCTGGGGGTGCGGGCAATGAGTCGGGATTGACAAACCTCACACACACACCGCCCGGCCCCTCCCCAAATCTTCCTTCTTTCGAGCCACGTTCCCGGCGCACGCCACCGCCCCCTCCCCCTCGCGGGAGCGCGCAAGCCGCGCACGCGCTCCATGTTATTGAGGAAGAGCCGGTGGGCCGTGCCCCCGCCCCTCCCCCTGGCCGGGGCTGGGTGTGGGGTGGGGGATGGTGTGGTGGGGAGCGGTTGCTGTCTGTCCCGGTATAAATGCCTCGGCTCCCGGGTCGATCGCACTCTCCGCTTCGCCAACAGCTTCCGCCCACCCAGGCTCCGGGGGCAGCGCAGGTTGGTGACCGGCTCCGGGAGCGCGCTCCCCGGCACAGCACACACCACCACCTCCACCACCTCCCCCCGCTCCTTCACCCCCTACCTCCTCCCTCATCCTGCACCTATACTGCACTTTCCTCCTGCACCCTGCCCAGCCACAAGCTGCTCCCAGCCTTTGCCCTCCCCTGCCCCCCCCCCCCATCTCCAGCCTGTACCTACCCTGTACCCTCAGTCAGCATCCACTACCCAGCTCCAATGCAGCATCTCCCTGTCTCCCCTCTGTGTGCGTTGGATTCTTTGATATTACAGTTTGGGATGTGGGACCTTAATCAAATCTATAGTTAATTCTAACTTTTTGTAAAATGTGTCATGATTCTTTACTGCCTCGGGATGTCTCTAAACTCTATAAATTTGTACAAAATGTTAGTGATGAGATTGTGATGTGGATTGAGATTTGAGTTATTCAGCCTGTTCTTTACACAGTTACAGTACTAATATTTATCCTCTCTGTCATTTTCCTGTCTTCCTTTCTCCCTCTCTCTGTCTTCACTCCCTTTGTTTCTCTTCTCCCCTCACTCTCTCTTTCTCTTTCTGTCTCACACTGTCTCTCACTTTTTCTCTGTCTCCTCTTGTTTCTGTCTCTTTCCATCTCTCCCTCCACCTGTCTTTCTGAACCCTTCTTACTCTCTTTTCCTTTGTCTTTCCTTTTGTTTCTCCCTCCTTCTCTCTGTCTGTCCCTTTCTTTCTTGCCCCTGCTGTACCTCCCTCTGTCTCTCTCTTTCTATTTTTCCCTCTCCCCCTCTGTTTCTCCTTCCTTTTCTCTGTTTCTTTGTGCCTCTCTCTGTTTCTCCGTCTCCCCCTCTGTCTTTCTCCCTTTTTCTCTCTGTCTTTCCCCTCTCTCTCTCCCCCTTTGTCTTTGTGTTCCTCTCTATCTCTTTTTCTCTTTGTTTCTCCCTGTGTCTGTCTGTATTTCTCCCTCTCCCACTCTGTCTTTCTTTTTCTCTCTGACATTCCCCCCCACCTCTGTTTCTTCCTCTCTGTTTTGCCCTCTCCCCCTCTGTCTTTCTGTCTCTCTCTAAATGTTCCTCTCTCTCTCTAACTGTTCCTCTCTCTCTCTCTGTTTCTTCCTCGCTCCCTCAATCTCTCATAGGATGTCTCCGAAGACTCGCTGCTCCCTTGTGTTATTCAGCAGTGATGCAGAGCAGTATTACCCACTCTCTGACGATGAAAGCAGCTCCTTCCATTCTTCAGGGGACATTGTGAGTCCAGAGCAGTTGAGCAGCCAGTTTGGCTCTGGCGATGAGGTGGGGGATTCACTCTCTTGCAAAGGTGCCCCGGGCACTGCCACAATTCGGAGGAAAAGGCCCAAGAGCCGGGCCAGAGTTAAAACTGAAGCAGCAGCCAGCAAGCAGAGGAGAAGCAGGCGGATGAAAGCCAATGATCGAGAGAGGAACCGTATGCACCACCTGAATGATGCCCTGGACGCCCTGCGGGCAGTGCTGCCCAGCTTCCCAGATGATGCCAAGTTGACCAAGATTGAGACACTGCGCTTTGCCCACAATTACATTTGGGCGCTGACGGAAACACTGAGGCTGGCAGAACAGGGGCGTGGGCAATGTGCCAGTGGGTTGTCTGTGTCAGAGCTGGGCAGCACCCAGAGCCTTTACTCACCCTCATCCCCTGACTGCGATTCTCCGCACTCTCCCCAGAGAGGGCTCGTGTACCACCTGCTGGAGCCCAGTGCCCCCTTCAGTGATCTCATCTGACTGCAGACCCAGTGGAGTCTTCCTGTGCTATCGCTTGTCACTGCCTTGAGAAACTTATTCTCCTCTCATTCTCCAATGCAACCCTCCTTTCCCTCCCCAGCAGAGCTGCATCCTTTGATGATACCCTGTCTCTCTAGTTTTTTTAAAAAAAATCTTGATCTGGGGAGGTTGTGGTAATGTCACTGGGTGAGTAATTCCAAAGCCCCGGTCCCACAACCCACACATCCCCGGGCTAATGTTCTGGGGATGAGGGTTCAATCCCCACTTTGGAAGGTGATAAAACTTGTGTTCAATAAAAGCCTGGAATTAAAATCTAAGTCTAATGGTGACCATGAAACTACAGTCAATTATTGTTAAAAAAAAAACCATCTGGTTCACTAATGTCCTTCAGAGAAGGAAATCTGCTGTCTTTATCTAGTCTGGCCTGTGTGTGACTCCAGACCCACCATCTGACTGTTAACTGTCCTGTGGGCAATTAGGAATGGGCAATAAATACTGGCCCAGCCTGTGTCCAATGACTGAAAAATGAAGATTGCTCCTGGGACCATCTCTAAAATTGCACTGTCTTCGAGCTGCACCAATCTCGATCAGCAATGTGGATCTATTTGTCAAAGGGACTTTCCTTCAAGATAAGAGGGCTGTGACATTTTGGGACTAAGTTGATCAACAATGTTTGATTCTCTGGCTCATAGAAACCTAATCAGACTTCTTTTGCATTTTCTACAAACTCTAGTAAATTGTGCTTCTATCTCTGAATTTTCCAGTAATTTTTAAAATGATAAATTTATTGATCAAATCTGCATTTTTTATATTTATTGATAAATTCTTACCAGATATATATTCTGTACATGAGAGATTATTCTGTTGAGTGATTGGACAATGACAGACTGCTTTTTAACATTTTAATAAAAATATTGTCTTGATGAGGAGGTGTTTGCAGTTGTCTACTGGCTCCAGAGCCAGCTCTTTCTGCAGCTAAAATGTCACAAACTCCTGCAGACAGTGAGATCCATGACAGGAGGACTCTGAGCTCAATGAGCTCTTTTTAAAGACTGGGTTCTCCACTGGAAATGGCCCCAGAGTGAGAATCAGCTGCTGCACACTGGCAGATGTTGTTTCAGCACCCAGAAAGGGAGTCAGGCACCGGGAAAGGGAGTCAGGCACCGGGAGAGGGAGTCAGGCACCGGGAGGGGGAGTCAGGCACCGGGAGGGGGAGTC